TATATATTGCAAGGACATACCCTCAATGAATTACGACAAGCTTTTACACATAAACTCAAGAGGTATGAAGATATTTGAAAAGTGCTGCGAACCTGATGAAAGCTTGCAAATGAATTAATTATATATACATTTAATGTACTTGACCCGCAAAATATTCAACATACGGTCAAACAAATGTAATTTTAGCAATTATATACTAGAATCTATATAGGTCCGCAGCACTTTTCACAAACTACAAAGAGCGTTGAAAATGATCATAAATTAAACTTAGATTTTTAATTTGGTTATGCCCTTGCATATTGGAATTTATAGATGACAGGTATATTTGTAAAATCTGACTGCCACATTACGTGACAAATCTAAAACCGTTTCGAAGTTTATTTGAAAAAAAAATTATTAATTTATAAGTGTAGATAGTAACAAATAAGTACTAATATAGTGACTAATATTTGTCGTTACACTGGTCACCCAAGTCAGCTTTGCTTACATTAACTACATGTCACACATCAAGCTATACAGCAAGTGGTGATTAACTGATAGATCCCTAATATCAAATTTGTAAACAAAAGTTTAACCACTTAATCATGTAATGTTCAAAACTTAAAATTCATTTCAAAACTGGTCGTATTTTTTCTTAAAAGAAGAAACTATGAGTGTTAAAAAAATCATTCGTGCAATTACATTTGAATTGACGCAGTTCTTGCGCTGTGATTTATAAATACATTTACCTCAGAATAGTCTTAAGTCGAGATTATTCTTAAAATAATATAAACAGTCAAGGATTTAGTGTGCGATGCATTGTGAGTATAAAGTAGATCCCAATTCTCAATTATGAATTATATAGATTTAGTTAAGAATCAAATTAGACAGACTGTTATCATTAATGATTAATAAATGGTGATTTATAAATTATTTCAAAAGCATAGAAATATTTGTACATAGAATTCTTTTAATGTTTTCGTTTAATTTACAAAAAAATATTTTGTACAAATAAAAAGAAAAAAAATAACTACGGAAGATAGAACAAAGAAGGAGCCGGGGAGGTTTAAAATTTTATCCAGCCATATGTCCTTTTTCTGATATACATGAAAATTGTGATTTATTGTTTGCCAAGCCACAATAGCAAAAGATGAATTTAGTTAATTGAATAAATTAATTCCTCTATGAATGAAGATATACATGTCATTATAATGTGCAACTTGAATACGAGGGTTGTTCGGAAAGTTCTTGGACTACCGTCATAACTTTTTTTTTACTTAACGTTATATTATATCCAAATTGAAAGAAATATTTCAACAGTAAATTTAAATTATGTGTATCAAAAATTTTTAGAATATCATGTTTTATTTCAAACTTATTCAGACTTTAAAAATGCAAAAATCGGATCGCGGAGCAGGTCAAAATTTCGTTATTTACAACCAAGACACTAAATCATGTCTGAATTCATATCTTCTACAGAATGACACAAAATCAGAAAAATTTTACACGATAAAATTAAGAATTGTTTCATCTCTTCTGATTCCAAATTATGACTTAATATTTTGCCTCGTTGAAATGAAATCGGTTTCAGAAGATATGTAGTCCGCATTGAAAAAGCCAAAAACGATGACGTCGTAGAACGTTACAGAGCAGCAGTTAACCATACAATTTTGTGTTGTACTCTGGAAAACTCCATAAAAAACTCTGAAAATGACGAAGGAAGTAGGAAATATGTCAAAAGCGAGCCATGCATGTGTGTGTACATGATACAAGCTGAATTTGAATGATAGACTACTCTGCTAAGACGACGGTGATCTCTGAAAAAAAAAAACAGATTATTTGTAAAAATCTTCTCAAAAAACATTGAAAATTTTCTAACGCCATGTTAAGAGTTTGGCGCTTCAGAGATGCTGATCTTGTGAAAGCACACTTATGCAGTGAAATAAATATAACATTGACAAACAAAATAATGCCACTGGGACAATTGTTAGCCAAATAGATTTCAAGTGATAGAGAAACGTTTTTAATGAGTGCACTTGTATTGGGCAATACTGTGTGAAAAGTATAGGGATAGTATTTCAGAGAACCTCATGTCGGTATGTTTTTGACGTTACAGTGTTGTTGAGTTTGCTCCATGGTTACATAACATGTTGATTTTAAGTTTAAATAACATGAATTCTATTAAATCACATGGAATGAAACTTCACACTTTCATAAAATAAATATTTTTACATATGATAATGTGCTCATTTTAAGTTACTTGAAGATAGTATAACGAAGATTGGCATAGTCCACGGACTTTCCGAACAACCCTCGTATTTCTATTATTCTTTCTTTTACATTTTTCCTTATTTTCTTTCTTTTTCTTGTAAAGTTTCCAGTGTACTGTTTTAATTCATGAACAATATCATAAGATTTTTTACATGTGTGTAGAACCCCCCCCCCCCTCGAAAATATGGCATATTACAGGATAATATCTATTTTTGGAAGAAATTTACACGCTTTTCGTGCTTGCACGTTAATTTCGTGTATACAATGGATTAAAGTGTGCACTGTCATAGTATTTGAGACCATTTTACCATAAGATAATTCTGTGAAATTTTGTTTGAAACTACTATGTTCCAATCTCTAGATTTTTCTTAGAAATCTCAGATTTTTTTTCTCAGCTGAGTCGGAAAAAAATGTTGGTGGCACACGTGTTTGAGAAAAATCTGATTAAGTAAAAAAAAATCTCAGATTTGGGAAAAAAATCAAATGATAAGTTTGAGAAAATATTTGTTTGGTGGTACCGTTTTGTGAGCAAAACACTTTTTTCTTTGAGAAATCTCAGGTTTGAGAAAAACCAGATAGATATTCTCAATCAGAAACTCAAGCATCCTTTTTATATCAACGTCAGAGTACTTGTGTGTACAATCAGTGTATTTTTTAACAAAATTATTTTGCAATTAAATAATGACAAGGTAAATAAATATACGAGTTCCATTTTTATTAAAACAAAGCAGCTTTCAATGGTGTCAGAAGCCTTGAATTTTACATATCATGGGGAATGTTTGCATGAAAAGTCGTAATTTTTAATTTTATTGATTTTGGTAAAATTTTGTGATTTCAAATTTTCCAAAAGTTCCTTTGAAATTTTAAGTATCTACATCTGATTCATTTCTCAAATATATTGTTGCACAGTACTCCTGGAGTTCCTCCTATACTGCTGTTAATATTTTAGTGAGGAGTAAAGAAAGAGGCGTCCCTTACAACAAAATACTATAGGTTACTATAGTTAACTATAGTTCACTATAGTATCACAGTTCTTACTAAAGTGAATCAATTTTTTTAATAAAAAAAATCAGAGTATTTTACTATGGATTTTAGATTGTTATTATATTTTATATTCTTCAATTTATACATGCACGTTTTTATACTAAATGAAACTATTACTTGTTTATTCACATATTATTTCCAAATTTTACACCATTATTAAACAATTTACAGATTTTAAGCTTTCAAATCTTGAAAAAGTACCATAGTACAGTTCATTGTAAATTAAAGTATCAAAATTTCAATTATAGTTAGCAATAGTAAACTATAGTTACATGTAAATATAGTTAAACTTTAGTAAGGATTAGTGGGACAGATATGAATTGTCTGTATTTCTTCAGACTGATCACTGTTCGTTAACTTCTCCTAATTTCATTAAATTGTTTAGAAATAATCTAGTAATAACTACAACTTTGTTGACAATGCTATTTCTATTAAGTGAAAAAAATCGGTCGAGCTTACCACACATATCTAACACCCTCTAAATGCCGTTTGTTTATGCATATGACTCTACAACCGCAGAAGGTCGCCTCTTCCTGTTTCAGCTCTAGTACATCGTATACAAGAATTGTATCGGAAAAGACCAATTAATATCCTTAATTGTTTGCACTCTCTCTCTCTTTATATCTCTCTTTCTCTCAACCTCTGTATGTGCGTATGTTTGTTTGTGTGTGTGTGTGTGTGTGTGTGTGTGAGAGAGAGTGTGTCTTGTTGATACTATCACTCTTTCACTCTCTGAACAAAATGTTGTTTCTGGAAAAAAATGTATATGGTTGGCAAAAGATTTGTCTCAAAGTTTGTTGCATTTCGTCACATTTATTTAGAAAATGTATTTATGAAAGTTTAGATGAAATATACTCAGCTAACATTTTTTCGAAATTGTGTCAGTTCTATTATCTCTATAAATCAATAAAGAATTCCATTTGTATTAGCATGCGGTCTAACAAATTGTTTCACTTCTATTATCTACATAAAACAGCCAGGAATTTTAATTGCCTAAGAAAGAAATTTACAGAATTTGAAATTTTATTATCTACATCAAATAGTTTTTTTATTACCATTGCTTGCAATCGTTCCATTGCTTCACTTCTATTATCTACATAATACAGCAAGCAGTTTCAATGGGCCTATTGCTGTCGTGTTTTGTTTGTTATCATTTCCTTGAAATAAACAACATAATGTAACTCTGACGTAAAAGAATTTTATGTGAGCTATGTATGGTATCTGTTTACTCATTTGAGTGATTCTTGGTATACTCCTTTGAAATTCGATTGTTTCTTGGAATTATCCAAACGTCACTATATATACCATGATACTTCCTCTGATTAAGGCACAATCTTCTTATTTTGTGATAATCTCATTTTCGAATTGAAAGTATGATGTTTTCCTATTTCTTAGTGATTTTTATTTCAATTTCACAAGCTAGGACAGATTCCTTGTTAACAGGTACTTATGTTCCGAACTCTACAGCTTTGATCAATGAAAGACGTGACATCAAGGAAATCGACGTCCTTCGGCAGATCATCAACCAGGAAACTCTCATCCGTTTAGCCGTGGTCAAGGATGTAAAGGCAGTAGTGGGCGACGTTATGTCTGTTAGGCGAAGCATGATGTCTACAGAAACAATGGTATCCACTCTACAGCAGAATCTAGAAACACTGAAAAGACGGGTTGATTCTTTAATTCAGAACAACGCTTTACAGCTGAAGGTAGAAGCATTACAAAGACAAGTTGATTCTCTAAGTCAGGTAAACACTTTGCAGCTGAGGGTAGAAACATTACAAAGACAGGTTGATAATCTAAGTCAGAACAACTCTTTACAGCTGAAGGTAGAAACATTACAAAGACAGGTTGATAATCTAAGTCAGAACAACGCTTTACAACTGAAGGTAGAAACATTACAAAGACAGGTTGATAATCTAAGTCAGGACAACACTTTACAGCTGAAGGTAGAAACATTACAAAGACAAGTTGATTCTATGATGCAGAAAAACAAGAAGATTACAATGAATCAAAATAAGATTCAGTAAGATGATCAGATGTTGAAGATTGTCATGAAAAATATAAGCGATAGCCATGAAGATTTAAAAAGCAATATACTGCAAATCATCGAGAAAGGTAACTCTCTCTCTCTCTCTCTCTCTCTCTCTAGACTATATATTATGTTACACGTATTATTATTTTATATGTTTATTCCTTTTTCTTTCAGAATTAAACATAAATAAAGATTGTAAGGACCTTTATATTAATAGTAATGCAAAATCTGGTGTATATGAAATAAATCCGTTTGGTATTCAAAGGAAGATCAGTGTGTACTGTCACATGGTGGCAGGAGGCGGAGGGTGGACAGTAAGATCTCTCTCTCTCTCTCTCTCTCTCTCTCTCTCTCTCTCTCTCTCAAACTTTAATTTCAAGACTTTTTAAAAATGTTTTATCATTTTTTTTCTTTGCTGAATACAAAGTTGTATAGATTTAACATGATATGAGTATGTAACTTAGCTAAAACTAAAAGTAGCTATAGAATAATCATAGTAAACATACTAAAATACTTAAAGGGGGGGGGGCATATAAATAATGCTCAGCTATATTAAGGAAAGAAATGGAAAATGCGATCTAAGTACATTCTAGATATGTATTATTTTTAAAAATCTTTGTAACAAAGTAACTGTAAACATGCAGAAAAGGTAATATATATATCCATAAAGGATGGATTTGTGGCTTACTCAGTACCAGTTACAACGCATATGTCAGCTGTGTGTCACGAGACTGGTATAAAATATACATGATATATGCAATTGATATTCCATATTTCAGCTCAAACAGTCTTGTTTATGTCCTTGCACTTTTGAGGTTAATCAGGTATACATTCTATGTCAGTGTGCAGCTCAATAGCACCTGCATAAATTAATAATCCCAATTATTGTTTTAGATAAATTATTTCCTTTTAATTTTATTGATTAGATTCAAACATGGTTTTATATTTATCTAAGTGATTTTGTAATAATTAAACAAATGAATCCACTCTTCTGGATCACTTGTTTGCATCAAGTCAAGGCTAGTGACGTCATTGATGACACAAAATTTGCTTCTAATAACGCGGCAGTATTGCTACCAAATGTTGTGAATTTACAAGGTTTTATAAATAATTGATAAAATAAATGAATACAAGTTGTTCTTTACGCATCACCATGCGGTTAAATAGATTTTTGTCGCTTGTTAAAGTTTTAATGACGTCACTATGAAACTTCCCATACGGTGCATCACAGATGTGAACCCAGGCCTTCCTTAACGTAGCTGAATGCAGATCAAGATACGAACATAATTGCATAATAAACATAGAAGTTTTATACGAAACTAAGTTAAAAAGAAATCATCCGAAAAAATTATATCTGTGATACTTCAAGACTATTTTTTTCTACTTTATACTTAAAGGGAAATAATTTTAAAAAATCAGCATTCGAATTAGCAGTAATCCATCCAAACAGCTACCACTGTGACAAAGTACACTCTTTAAATGTTTTTACAAACAAATGATTGTGAAATTTACATTTGCAAACATTTAATTAACACATCTCGATTTCAAGGTTATCCAGAAACGAAGGGGTGGATCAGTCTCATTCAACAAAACGTGGGCGGAATACAAAGAAGGTTTTGGAAATCCTAGTGGCACTCACTGGATTGGTAATTACTAATTTATATTTTAAGGAATGGTCCTTTTTTTAATGAATATTTTTTTTTATTTATATGTTTCTTCATTTTACTTAAATAGCCTTTCTCATGTTATAAATAATCAACAAGATCCCTATAATTTAGTTACAAATAGATTCCTGACTTATGACACCTCTGCAAAAATATTTAATTGTATTTGGTTGCACTATACTACAGTGATCCTGATTTTTTTTTTAAAATGGATATTTCCTATCATATTTAGTTCTGCTTAATATACCCCATTCATTTATATATTGAAGGAAATGACGTGATTCACCAGCTTACCAAAGGAAATAAATCATCCCTCTACGTCTCCATTACTTTAAGAAATGGTACAACTTTGTATGAACTGTATCATCAGTTTTCTGTTTCGGATGAATCAGACAAATACAGACTCTTTCTTGGAGGACCAGCTACCGGAACCTTGGGTAAGTAATAGGTTAAAATGAGCAGAGAGAGAGATTTCTGATTAGGCAAACGAGAAATACTCTTTTTCTGGAGAGCCAGCTACTAGAACCTTAAGAAAGTTTTTGTATTAGATTGATCTTTTGACAAATACTGTACCGTTATTGTGATTTCTGTCTAGCTTTAAGATATTAATAGATTAATATATTTTTGCCGACCATTTATTGCTTTAAGGAAAAATTAGTTATTTCTAAAGAATGGGTGGACTAGGTGTCCAGAAAAAAATGCCGTAGATTAAAGTGTTATAAAACGTTTATTTCTTTCCATCATATAAATTCTCGATATCTTAAACGAGTATTCTTGGTACAGGTATGAATTCAAAATGCTCTTTTTTGAGATTAACTAAATAAATATCGAACGCATGGGACTAGAAGATTTCTTAAATATCAATAGATAATCATAATCACGCTTTTTTCATCGTCTGAATACATAGTCAGCTCATGTTTGTCGGCTGTTCTTAAGAAAAGTGTAGTTGTATATTGAAAAAAATAATGTCATATTAAAAGGAGAAGAGCCGACAAACGTGCGCTCATACTTAATTTTACAAAAAAATATGTGTAAAACAATCTTCTCGCTTCCATTGTTATGACTGCGTAACCTTGATTTGACTTCGACTGAGCTGTTGAATATTGCAATTCATCACGTGATGTCCACCTGCGAGTGTGTGTACTCGTGAAAACGATTTCATTGTATTCTTCAACCTGACCTCGATCTGAATCACGTCTTGGAGCGAATTTGGTTGCCATTTTCAGAATTCAATGTTGATATAATTTTGCGTGTCCTCACATTTTTTTTTTAATTTCATATTGGCATTGCTGTAATATACTATACACATATTCGAATTTCTAGAGAGAGAGAGAGAAGAAGAAGAAAGAGATGTCGACACTGACGCCGATCGATAGCCCCCCTCCTATTAATATTGATTAAGTGACATAAAAACCACTCCGGGTACATGTCAAATTCCGGGCGGCGCCACTAATGTATTGTTGCTTCATTTTTGATTCATAGCAACAAGGCATTACTTTTGTACAATTTTTCTACCTAATATAACCATGTGTACGTAGCTCTTTCTATTGCTTGTAAAATATTTTGGATTTACGTCATTTACATGTACAGGTAGAGAAATCGCAAAAAGATCCAAATTAGGGCGTTAAGTCCACTCATTTTTTTTTTATATTTATATATTATATGCTCAAGCAATTGCTTTCACATCATAATCAGCATTCTAATCTACGAATTGATTTTCACAAGATGAACATGCATCATTCAGTTAACTGATTGTTCACTGATATGTCTGGAAAGATCACTGAATGGCAGAGCTCTGTCACTTTTTCAGCTAACTGAAAATCAGAGTTCCATCATGTGTTTCTTAGCAAGATTTATAATCTCTTCTCGAACAATAATTAAACATTTTTTTTAACTCAATAAGCACCCATAATCATTAGCTGTGTCCGCATATTTTCGAAATAAAAAGAAATTCAACAAAAGCAATAATAGATTCAATAGATAGCAGATTATATAAGATTATAAATAGTGCATTAATACGGTGCATAACATTTAATAATATAAGATATTCTATTATTCTGTGTGATTTTCTTTGGCTTTGAATAATTTAGATAATAATGATCTGCTTTGAAATGGTTGTCCATGTTATATTTTTCTTTGTTTATTGTTTAGGAGACAGTATGTTAAACACAGGGAGGTCTGACACTGATCTGTCTGGAATGTACTTTAGTACACCAGACAGGGACAACGACAGAGCTAGTAGAGATAACTGTGCTGGTAGTCATAGGGGAGATTGGTGGTTTAATTCCTGTTACCGTGCCTACCTCAACGGTCCCTGGTCCGAAAGATACTGGTACAATCCATGGTATCTTACAGTACTAAATGGCAGGGACGTAAAAGAGACTGTCATGATGATAAAACCTAAAGGACTGTGTTACATGATGATAAAACCTGAAGGACTGTGTTACATGATGGTAAAACCTGAAGGACTGTATTACATGATGATAAAACCTAACTGACTGTGTTACATGATGATAACACTTAACTGACTGTGATACATGATGATAAAACCTAACTGACTGTGTTACACGATGATAAAACCTCACTGACTGTTACATGATGATAAAACCTAACTGACTGTTACATGATGATAAAACCTCACTGACTGTCACATGATGATAACACCTCACTGACTGTGTTACATGATGATAAAACCTAAAGGACTGTGATACATGATGATAAAACCTAAAGGACTGTGTTACATGATGATAAAAAAACTAATTATCTACTTGGGGTTATCAAAAGTTCGCGGACTAATACGATAAATTAAAACTATGTAGCCTGTGCTTACAAAATGAATAAGGTACATAAAACAACAAAAGATTAAGAAATTTTGAGAATTTTATCTTGATACGTTGATAATTTGCCAAATCATTATAAAAAGAAAAACATAATATGATCACCCGGCGCTGTCACCGTTTACTTTCATGATGTTCGACAACGTCTTTGTTTCTCAATGTCCGCTCCTTCTACCTTATATACTTATCCTTAT